CCTCAGCCCATTCCCGCTCTTTTGCCTCGCGTTGGGCCCGGTACTTCAGCAGCTATTGCCAGTGCCTCGGCCCGCACTGTCCCGGTACCCCAGACAACGTTTGCTTTGGCTGGGCCGGGTGTCCCAGCCCCTGTGGCAGTGCCTCAGCCTGTGCGGCTGCTCCTCCCGGGTACAGCACCCCTTGCAGCCGTTACAGGGGAGTGGCTCTGGCAGGGCGCTCTCCAGCTGCCCGGCATGGGAGAACGCTGTCTGTGCAAGTTTCTTGTCCTGTGCTTCCCTGTAACCTGTTGTGGTGAAGGAAGCTGGGATGTGGGTTTAGTACTCTGCTTTTCTATGCTGTGGGGAGCTCCCATATAGAAGTAATGTAGTGTATTCTTGCTCAGGGGCAAGCTTTAAGGTAAGACGCTATACAGTTACCCCAAAGTAAGTGGTGGTCTGGTAATCCATACTCTGACTTTATAAGCAGTAGTGGCATAGGCCTTCCCTAATTTTGGCTTTGCTACCAATGTTCATGAGCACCTAGACATGCATTCATTCCCCTGATGATTTTCCTTTTCCGCGTTTGTTTTGCAGACAATCCTAGGAGAAACTCATGAAGAAGAGGATGAGATCCTTCCGCGCAAAGACTATGAGGTGGGAAATTAGCTGATAGCAGCTTGTGAAATTAATGTGAAAAGAACCGCAGACAGGTTTCGATCTGTTTGAGTTTCTAATGGGACAGGTACTCAAAATGCATCACTAGTTAGATTGCACTGGCACCAGCAGAAATACCAAGAGTTGCTGCGCTTGCAAAGAACTGCTCCTCATCATTATACATTTCTGGGTTAAAGCCCTGTGAGTGGAGCTTGAACATCCGTTGCTCAAGTCAGAGTCTTGTTGAGAAAACTCATTTTCAGAGTCTGTTGCATTGTTCCACTTTTGAGATTTACAGGCTCTAGTGGTCTTGTTTCCTCATGACTGTAGAAAGCATCTGTAGCTAGTTGGTCACTGTTGCCTTACTGCTGTCTCTGATGTCGTGCTGGCTCACAGCAGATCTTCTCATCTATCGGATCCTGCTTCTTACAAGAGATTTTTGCTTTTTGCATGTCTGTATGGTGGCCCTGAGCTATTTAGAGCAGTTGCTGTCAGCATGGGTGTCACCAGCTCAGCCTGTTACTGCTTGGCTTGGAAAGGTGAAGTCGGTGTAGATAGAAGCTAGTGGTACTTCGTGAGTACGACTGGGCAACTCTATATTGCTTTTAACTCCCTGCTGTGATAAGCTTAAGAATTGACGCTGTACATCTGGAAAGAAATTCCTATCTAGTGTTCCTGTTGTAGTGAGAGGTTAAATACGAAGATCTAATGTTATCCCCTGCACTGTCAAATCGGAGGCACTTAAAGCAGTAAAGTCTAAACCTGTACAATGTGACTAATTTAAAGTTGTATTAATCAGTCGTGTTCCTGTTTGGTTCCCTATCTCTCTCAGCTTGGGCAGTGAAACTGGTCTGTTCTTTCACTTCCTGATTCTCAGGGTCTGGCTCTGCTGGAAATATTTCAATGAAGTTGTTTCCAGGGGTTTTTTCTCCTACTGTTGTTTGCAAAACCTACTGTGGGGGTAGTAATGACTTCTGTAATCATTAACAAGGTCTTCTGTCCCTAGTTTTTTTGCACAATTTGTTGCAGCTGATTCTCTTAATTTGACCTTTTGGCATTCTTTCAGAGCTTGGATTATGATCGCTGTATCAATGACCCATACTTGGAAGTTTTGGAGAGCATGGACAACAAGGTAGGACCTTGTTCTTTCTTTTTCGTTAGCTTGAGAGCTAAAACTGTGGACATTGCCCAGAGAAATTTGCCCAGAGAAGTCGTGGATGCCCCATCATTTGAAGTGTTCAAGGTCAGGTTGGACAGGGCTTTGAGCAACCTGATCTAGTGAAAGATGTTGCTGCCCATGGAGGGGAGGGGGGTGGACTAGATGATCGTTAAAGGTCCCTTCCAACCCAAACCATTCTATGATTCTAAATACGCTCCACTGTGGGAAGTTTTGTGGGTTTTTTTCTTCTTTATGAAGGAAATTCTATGTGCTCTCCTGGCTTCTCTATGAAAAGAATAAAAATTTGTGTGGAGATTATAACTCCCAGCATCTGTTCTGATCCTCAGGTTTAAAGTGAGCAAGATGTTCAGCACTTTCAGTTCCCTATTTTCAGTTTGCTGTTGTCACCATCTTCTGTTGATTTATCACTCTAGCTGTGATTGAGCTGTGGAGCCCAAAACCCCCTTTTTCTGATCCCCACTTCTATGTCGCTTTGACTTGGCTTTTTTTTTTTTTTCTTAAATCTTCTTTCTAAACAGAAAGCCCAGAGATATGAAGCAGTGAAGTGGGTGATGGTTTTTGCTATTGGAGTCTGCACAGGACTGGTAAGGGTCATGCTTTTTTGGGGAATGAGGAAAATTCAGGAGGCTAAGCAGGAATAATTTAGAAGTCAATGGCTGAGGAGTAAAGAGGAGAAAACATTCTTTTTCATGAAGTGGAGAGCTTAGTAGCTGGAGTTGTCTTTTGGGAATATAGCACGTTGTTGCAAGATTATTTTCCAGGAAGCCTTTTTTTCTTGCTGTGCTTTCTTTGCAAAGTATTCTGGCAAATCCTTTAGTTCTGCATACAGGAAAACTTGTCCAAAGTGAGCACGTAATAAAAAAGGATGCCAATTTACAGCTGAACTGTGGTTTTTTATGTTTGGCATTACTAGCTTCACTGCACGTGCTTTCTAGAGTGTTTGAAAATTAGCTTTGCTGACTGTATGCCTCAGTTAAACACCAGCTTTCTTCTGTATCCTGAAGTGTGTTGTGGGTATTAAAAATGCTGCTAGATTAGTACTCTAAAAGGCATCTCTTCAGGAATAATTCTAAGATGAATGTGTCCCAGTGAGAATGAGGGAGGCAGCAAATCTGAGCTTCTGAAGTTACTTTACTCTGAACAACGTTTCTTTGCCCTTCTTCATCCTCTGTCCTCCCATGTGTGCATACTTCTGGTAGGACTTACTAGAGGGTGGTATTTGTTACTTGTATGTAGTAATTTCTGATGGCAGATCTGTCTTCTTTTTCATAGGTGGGCCTCTTTGTGGATTTCTTCGTACGGCTCTTTACCCAGCTCAAGTTCCGTGTGGTGCAAAGCTGTATCTTTTACCTAGTGTATGCATTTCTGTTAGACTCAAGTGACCTTTTCCTTTCTGTTGCCACATTTTGATCAGAATAGCTGAGACTCAGACTTCTGCCATCAGTCATGTTGTTGATGATTAATCAAGTTTTCAACTTGCCCATGTAATTCAGCCCTTGAAACCAAGAAATGGTTCCAGTATCCTGTACATAGGCAAGGGCTAATCCCTGAAAGAATGAGTGGTTTCCCTTCCTTGTAGCTCAGTCTTGAGCTCTGAAAAGGAAGCCTGGCTTCCTAATGGGTTGTGTCATCTGCCCTGGATGGATTAGGAAGCACAGGCTTGTCTCCTGATGCCAGTGGGACCCCAAGACAGTACTGAGCGATTATGTTTTGGGGAGGGGAACGTCGTCATTTTCCTTGACTGTCCCTGCAGCGGTGGAAGAATGCACTGAGAAAGGCTGTCTTGCCTTGTCCTTGCTGGAGCTGTTGGGGTTCAACCTGACCTTTGTTTTTCTTGCCAGTCTTCTGGTCCTGATCCAAGTAAGACTTAGGTCCACTGCTGTTCCTTACACAGCCTCCCTTTGCTCTCACACATGTCCTGGGTGTGAAGTTTCCTTCTTGCCAGAAGCACTTTCTGCCCCAGGACATCAAACTAGCTTCACAGTGCTAATTGATTTAGCTAAGCAGGGTCTCTTGGTCCCTTGCTGTGCTCTCTGATGAGATGTTGTTGGTCAGCTATGAAATCGATGCAGCACAGCGCCAGTGTTTCTTTTCTGCAGCCTGTAGCAGCTGGATCAGGAATTCCTGAAATTAAGTGCTACCTCAACGGGGTAAAGGTTCCAGGGGTTGTGCGTCTCCGGACGGTGGTGTGCAAAGCTATGGGAGTGCTCTTCAGTGTGGCAGGAGGTAAGAAGGGCTGTGGTGTCTTGATCTTGTTGGGGTAAGGAATCACTGAAGGGGGAAAAATGCTGTCCCTGCTGTACGTAGGGCACAGAAGGCTTCTCCTGCCTTTCCAGTAAAATTATTTTGATGGGCTGGAGCAGAGTGAAGAGCCCTGAATGCATATATACAGTAGAAAATAGACAGAAGGATCAGGACTATTGGGGGAACAGGTACTTTTTTGGGTTGCCTAGTCAGAAGTGGCTCTTTGTGGCTCAGTCCAAGAGGGAGACCTGAGGATTCTCCCGAACACATTGTCTAGAGCAGCCTACAGGAGGCTATGTTCTAGGCAGCAGGGCAGAGTAACTTGGAGAGTTCAGAGTCCTTGTAACAGCTGTCTTTGAACGGTTCCACCCACTTGGAGTGCCAGGTCTGCGCAAGTCTTCACAAACATCTGGGGGGTTGAGGGGGCAGGGGTCAGCACCTTCCTTTACCTTGAGGGGAGAGGGAGGAGCTGCAGGCTTGGCACAGGGGTCTGTGCCATGGCGTGGGAGTGGTGAGCTGATCTCTCCTGGCATTGTCAGCAAGGGAGAGGGGCAGGGGGAGTGTGTTGCCTCATCAGTCCTGTTTTTCCAGGTCTTTTTGTCGGGAAGGAGGGTCCAATGATTCACAGTGGTGCTGTCGTGGGTGCGGGTTTGCCACAGGTTAGTGCTGGCCTCGGTCACTGGCCTGGTCACACCACTGCTTTGTAAGAGTACTGCGAGGAGTAAGTTTCCATCTCCTATGTTTCTAAATCTTTACTTTGTTTGTAGTTCCAGAGCATCTCTTTGAGGAAGATCCAATTTAACTTTCCCTATTTCCGCAGTGACAGGTACTGTACCTGGGATGTGGAGGAGGGGAGAGGAGGATGAGTGAGCAGACTTCCTTGGGAGAAGGGTGGTGGGCTGGGATGAATCAGTCGGTTGGTTTTTCAGTCTCTCTCTAGTGTCCTGCAGTTTCATTCTGCAGGAAGGCAACACCAGGACTTTGCTCTTCCATACTGCTCTGTTCTGGTCTCCATGTTCATTGATGTTCTCTTGTACTACTCAGCGAAGCTCTACCCATTTAAAACCTTTAATCTGAATGGTTAAATGGCTTCATTGTTGGGAACAAGCTCGGTTACTCACCCCTTATGACCAAGATATGCTCCAGAGAAGGCTGGTCCACCTGCATGTGAACAAAATCTTGCCCTTCCCTCTCTGTAGTTCTTTCAAATGATGCTGGAGCCCCGCGGTTTGGGGTGGTTCCTCATATACTGGCAGTTGTGTAGTGCCAGAGTTTTGCTCTGTATTGGTGCTCTAGAGAAAGCACGATGCTTCAACAACTTACTGAATAAATGGTGTTGCCTGCCATGGCCAGCACTTCTCCCAGCTGTCACTCCTGTATCCCTGGGATATATCCATAAATGAGAATGGTTTCTTACTTTGCAGAACCTAAGCATCTCCAGAGCTCTACTTTGTTAAACTGAGGTTGTTTTCTTCTTCATTTCAGGGATAAAAGGGATTTTGTATCTGCTGGAGCTGCTGCAGGGGTTGCAGCTGCCTTTGGAGCCCCAATTGGGGGCACTCTTTTCAGCTTGGAAGAAGGTTCTTCCTTCTGGAACCAGGGACTTACATGGAAAGTGGTGAGTAATGACTGGCTCTTTCTGTGTCTCTTCCTTGAGCTGGACCTTTGGGAGGGCTTTTCCATGAGGGCATTCAGATTATCCTTTGTCTCCTCCTGAGCTCTCCTGGCAGGAGAGAAATCGCCTGCTCCAGGTGCTCCATAATTGCTGCAGATCAAGAGCAGAGATGAGTCTCGTACTATCCGGAACTATGAGGCAACTGTAGGCAGCAGATTTAGTGTACCTGGGAGAAAGGGCTTTTGTGCCTGGGCTCTTTGCAGTCCGATCCTTTGGGAGCAGACAGAGTAGGGAGGTGCTGAATTTCTTTTGGCTTTTGTCTGCCTTGGGGAGCTGTATTGCAGCAATACCGTATGCCTTCAGGTTGCTGATTTCTCTGCCTCTAGTGCCTACTTTCATGAAGTTGACAGTATTTTAAAAATGTGTTGGATTTCATGATGTTTTTTGCATTTCTTATGCCAAATGCCCTGTTGATGGGATTCAGTTAGTGTGCTCTTTCTCAGTGGGCATAAAAGGAGCCAGGGCATTTGCCAAGATAACTCTCAGAGCCAATGGACACCTCAATTCCAACTCTAAACAAGCTGTGTTAGTGCCTTGTAATTGATTTGCAACTGCAAATTAGCATCTTTGACAAAAAAAAGAGCTTTTTCTGCAAGAATTACTAGGTGAAATTCCTAACTTCTTGTGCGGGAAACCAAATCAGATGATTATAGTAGTCCATTCTAGCCCCGCTGTCTTTTGCAGCAGGGAATGGGTGTTAAACCTCAGTAGGACAATTTTCCTAAAGCTTGAGAAGGCTCTGAGGTTCTGTTCCCCAGGCATAAGTCTCAAGGAAGAGCTGACTGTGCCAATGTTAATTTTGTGAGTATTTAGTTCTTCCTTTTTTTTTTAACTTCCTCAGCTTTTCTGTTCCATGGCTGCCACCTTTACGCTGAATTTTTTCCGTTCTGGGATTCAGTTTGGAAGTTGGGGGTCTTTCCAGCTCCCTGGGCTGCTGAACTTTGGGGAGTTTAAGGTAAGATTTAGTGCTGTTATTTTCCCCCTCACTCCAGTCTTTTGTGTTTCTTTCTGGTTTGGTTGTTTGGGTTTTTTTTTTTTTGATACATGCTTGTATTTCAGTGAAGGGCAGTTGATATTTAGCTGCAATACATTGATAGCCTAAGACAGAATTGTTTCCCTTTGGTCATAGCTGCTGAAAGTGGAGACAGAAGTGTTGGTAGGAAACTGCAGCAACTACTCTAATGCTTTTTTTTTTTAATGCTTTTCTGCCTGTAGTGCTCTGAGTCTGATAAGAAATGCCACCTCTGGACGGCTGTGGACTTGGGCTTCTTCATTCTGATGGGAATTGTGGGAGGCCTTCTCGGAGCCACCTTCAACTGCCTGAACAAGAGACTTGCGAAGTACCGCATGCGGAATGTGCATCCCAAGCCAAAGCTGGTCAGGTATTTGTGCTCTCTTGAGTTTGTGCAGAGATCTCTGATCTGTGTTTAGTGTCCCAAAGCAAAAGCATCAGTCTAGAAGACCCAGTGAGAGGGATTGGAGGAAATCCCAGACATGTTATTTTTGAAATCACAAAACGAAGCCTCCACAGAACTTAAAAGTGAACGCCAGAAACCAGACGTTACAGTCCTTCTGCATTTTTGTAATTACTCTGGTGGTACAGAGAGAGCTGCAACCCCCCCTTACAACAGCTATGAAGGGAGCTCTTTATAATAAAGACTATAGCTGAACAAACCAGAGCTTTGTCTCCATGCAGTATTTTTTTTGTCTTGTCCAAACAGATGTGGAAGGAATAGCTGATTCCACTCTCTTTTTTTTTTTTTTTTTTTTAATTATCTTCATTAATTAAATCCACAACTGAGCTAATATCTGTGCTATTTAGAGACGGAATTGCCATGTAGTTCTGGAAAGTAGCTGTTTGTTTGCTCTAGACAATTCCTAAATAAGAAGCCCAGTTTAAAAAAAAAAAAAAGTGTACTTCAGCAGTTAGAAAAGAAAAGAGATTATGAGAGACTATGCATCAACCTGTCCAGTCCTGTCTGGACTTTCACCCTGTAAGGATCTACAGAACATTGCTCCCATGTGAACAGCCTCATCACTGAACCCTTCCCTGTGGCTTTTTATATGTCACTACAATGTGTTTCTGGGCAGAAATAGCTCCTTTTCTGGGGCAGGCAACTAAAAAGGGGAGTTAATGCAATCCCTGGCAACCAAGTCATAATTCAGCTTGACTTGCAGAGTCCCCTGCTTCTGCTGTTAAGCTGTAGTGACTGCGTCTTCTTGCAACCTCATCACAGTTGTGTGCAGAGCTGGGTCTGGGTTACAGGGCTGAGTGTGGCTTCAGTGTATGGTTTCTATTGTGTACTTGCAGGGTGTTGGAGAGCCTGCTGGTGTCGTTGACTACCACGGTCGTGGTCTTTGTAGCCTCCATGGTTCTGGGGGAGTGCCGGCAGATGTCTTCCACCAGTCATAGTGGCAATGACACTCTGAGCCTACAGGTGAGGGATCTTATGTGAAGATTATATGTCCCCATCATATTGTTCATCCTCCAGAGAAGCACAGGCACATAATGAGCTTTTGACAGCATGCAGTACATCACAGAACTTCAGTGAAAGCCCACGGACAGTTGCAGGAGCTTAGGGTAATAATGAAAGCTGCCCTTTGTGCTTTCGTACTTTGGCGAAGCAGCTCAAGTTGTGAATCAGGGAGTCCATTGATGTTGCAGGCCCCATCTCTGCTATTGATGTTTGGTCTGAACTTCCCAAAGTGTGGGCTGGCAGCCCTATACAGAAGGGTTATGCCCATTCTGCACAAAGGCTAATATAGGAGAGAGTGGATTTTAACTGCTCATATCTTTTGTGTCCTGCATTAGGGTATGTCAGAGGATGTGAATTCAAGCATCAAAACTTTTTTCTGCCCAAATGAAACCTACAATGACATGGCCACACTCTTCTTCAACCCTCAGGAGTCAGCTATCTTGCAGCTCTTCCACCAGGATGGTGAGTAGCTAAGAGACAGTGTCCCATCCCATGCTTAGGCTTCAGAGCTTCATCTTGCTTGAAGCAGCCTTGTCATAAGAACCATAAGGCTAAGAGCATCTTCAGGCTGTCACGGCTCTGGGGGACTGCTAGTACAATGGGTGAAAGCCTCCTCCATGGGAAGAAAGGGCTGCTTTTCCTCTCTTTTTCACTTATTCATTGTCTTCATGTGTGTTTGGACTGGGAGACTAAGTAGCTGTTGTGAGATGAGCCTGCTGTGAGCTTAGGGGTGGATGGTGCAAGACTACTGTCTTTGTCTGACAGACCTGTGCCCCTTTAGTCATGATTCTTCTTGTGTTGCAGGTACTTTCAGCCCAGTCACACTGTCCTTGTTCTTCCTTCTCTATTTCTTACTCTCCTGCTGGACATATGGGATCTCTGTGCCCAGTGGTCTTTTTGTGCCATCACTGCTTTGTGGGGCTGCCTTCGGACGCCTGGTCGCCAACCTCCTCAAAAGGTGCATTGAGTGTACATATATGTGTGAGAGATGTGCTGCAGATGCACGCTGAGCATCTGAGTCAGGTTATTCTAATCTCCGGTCTCTGTGTTTTGCCCTAGCTACATTGGCCTGGATCACATCTACTCGGGAACCTTTGCACTGATTGGGGCAGCAGCATTCCTGGGAGGAGTGGTCCGCATGACAATTAGCCTGACTGTCATCCTAATTGAATCCACCAATGAGATCACCTATGGGCTCCCAATAATGATCACCCTCATGGTGAGTGCAGGGTCTTAGGTCTTGCTTCTTGCAGACTGCTTGAACGTGTGCTGGCCCTGAACCTCCTCCTTCCAGGGCTATAACAAGCCAAGGAGTCTTGTACGTGGAGCAACAACTCAGTAGACCTTCCGTTTGCTCTGCAGGTAGCCAAATGGACAGGAGACTTTTTCAATAAAGGCATCTATGACATCCATGTGAACTTGCGAGGAGTGCCTCTTCTGGAGTGGGAAACAGAGGTGGAAATGGATAAGTAAGGCTGCTCGTCTTGGCAGGGCTGTGGGTTAGAGTTTGTGGTAGGGTTCTTGCTCAGAAAGGAATGCTGTAATGCGGGGGGCTGATGCTTCATCTCCAACAAATCAGGCTGCTCTGAGAGGAGCAGCTGTGAGGAGGACTGCCGTGAGAGGAGTTGGGAGTTGTGCCTCAGGCCTGCAGCAGGAAGGAAGTGCTGGAGCCCTTTCTGAGGAGGGGTGGACAGGTGGAGATCTGAGGAGCAGATTTGTGAGGTTCAGCAAGAACTCTGTGAAAATGTTCCACTGGACTTTGCTTCTTGCAGAATTTAATCTTCTTCCTGCCTGTCTCCTTTCCCAGTAGTGTTTAAACACTTTCTGTAAGTTGGAACCTTTTTTCTTGCTTATAGTGCATCATTGATGCAATGTTATGTTAAAAAAAAAAAAATTAAAAAAAAAGAATTGTGCCAGCATGGCTAATAACGCAGTGAAGGTGAGCACACAGGTATGAGGAGCTGGCAGAACTAAACTGCAGCAGACTCCTTCAGGATCTTGTTTGGGACTGGTTTGTTTCCTTGTTTGTCCGTCACCAGCCTTTTGTTGCTGATTGCATGCAGCAATCTTGGATTTCTATTTCCTCAGACTACGAGCCAGCGACGTCATGGAACCCAACTTGACATATGTCTACCCACACACCAGGATCCAGTCCCTTGTTAGCATCCTGCGTACAACTGTCCATCATGCCTTCCCTGTAGTGACAGAGAACCGGGGCAACGAGAGGGAGTTCATGAAGGGAAATCAACTGATAAGTAACAACATCAAATTCAAGGTAAGAAGTTGCTTCTTTGATAAGTTGAAGGGTAAAGAGCTCTGTTTTGCAGGTGGAAGGCCCTTTCTTTTGTTATCTAGGCTTTTGTCAGTGCAGAATTCAGGTCAAGCACCTACTGCAATATAAAATTTTTAAGCACTCAATTTCATTCCATTCTCCGGGTCATGGTAAAGGCAGAAGAGTGGACTGCATTCCTAGAGGCTTAAAGTTAAGAGGACTAAGTAACGTGTTTAGGATAGACATGGAAAAAGTTTGGATTTGGCACTGAAGTACTGAACCTACCATTGAGATCAGTAGTAGGTGACTAAATGCTTCTCTCCTTTGTAGGAGGGGTAGTGGGGCAGATGCTTTAGTCTCTTGGGAAACTTAAATTTTAAGGTCAGAGTGAATAATGAACGTGCTTGTGGCATACTCGTGCTCTAGCAAAAAAGGGTGCCTGAGTTCCTAAACTCCAGGTTCTCTGTCCAAGGAGACTACGGTCCTGTTGGCTATTCTTACAAGTACTGCAGCAGCACTGACTAAGGAACACCTTATCTGGTGAAATAAAGCTATGATCAAATAGTTCATAGTTGCTCTTGGATAACTGTTGCCCTGCTTGGGGGGGGGTATCTGAAAATTGGTTGTTGTATCCAGAAATCCAGCATCCTCACTCGGGCTGGAGAGCAGCGCAAGCGTAGTCAGTCCATGAAATCCTACCCTTCAAGTGAATTGCGTAACATGTGTGATGAGCACATAGCAACGGAGGAGCCACCAGAAAAGGAGGATCTGCTGCAACAGATGCTAGAGAGAAGGTGAGATCCTGGTAGGCACAAACATATGGAAACAGGGTGTTTCCATATGTTGAGATGTGTTGTGATGCTTCATACAGTCCCTGTCATTCCATATGCCAGAGAAGTGACTTGTCAGGTCTCATCAGCCAGTGCTGGGGCTCACACCTGTGACCGAGTCCTAGGCTAATGGCTTGATGGTGTCCAACCTGTTCACTTAAATTTCCTTCAAACAGCTATCCAGGAATATTTCCTGGAGAGGATGGAATAGCTGGGGAAATATCTTGTCTGTAGAAATCAATGCCCTCTTGTCTGCAAAAACCTGAGGGCTCTGCAAAGCTCACTTCTCCCAAGAGAGGAGCTAATGACTTGGTGCCGTAATGCTGACACCACCTTTCTGGTAACTGGGCTGAGTCACCAGGCTTGTATTGCCGTTGCTTCCAAGCAGAAGCCCAGTTTAGTGAATCAGTTTCTAACCTAGTGATTGTGCCTCTTAAGAGTGGAGTCCTGATCCTGACGTTTTGCCATATACTTCAGCTTTTATTAGAATCTGAATAATTTGGCACTGAAAATTGCTTTAGTAGCAAGTGATTTGAAATTGAGGGTTAGGAGACTGTCTCCATTCTGCTGCTGTTGTCATACTCTGCCCATGGTAATGGCTCTTGACCCCTCTCTGCTATTTTGTTTGCTGGAGAAGAGACTTGTTTGTCTCTAGCAAGAGTCCCCGAAATGTTCAGGAGAAGGTTGCAAAGAGCTGAAATAGCTGTTGTTGTTTTGGAGGCGGGGGTATGTGTCTCTCCTTAAGTTCATGCAACTTATCACGTGTTAAATCTGTCACAGATACACTCCCTACCCCAACCTGTACCCTGACCAGTCTCCCAGTGAAGAGTGGACCATGGAAGAACGCTTCAGACCTTTGACCTTCCATGGTTTGATCCTGCGCTCACAGCTCGTCACCCTCCTTGTCAGGGGTGTTTGTTACTCTGAGAGCCAGTCGGTGAGTCTTCCTAATCAGGAATTGTGGCAGACATATCCCTACCCTTTTGGCTGAGAAGGCTGGGAACAATATTTACGGGCTGCCAAAAAGAATTTACCTATTTCTATGCTTCAAGAAATGCATCTGTGTTTTAAAAGCTGCAGATGGATAATGTGAATTTTCCCTTGCAGCTCTTGAATAAAGAGAATTTAATTTCTGTTTAAGCACCCCCAGGAAAAGAGGATGGCTACTGTTTAAAAAAAATAAACCAACAGACCCATTTGTTGCATAAAGGTGCAATCCTGTCAGAACTGGAGAAAGGAGAGCAGATATTAAATACAAATAGAGCAACCAGCAGTGTATACTGTGTGTTTTTACTGCTGTGTGCCAAGGTCTTACCAGGAGAGTGTCAGCTGTATCACTGAGATCAGTATGAGCATTTGTGTTTGAAGCCCATCTTCCACAAGGCTGATTTGTTGCTGCCCTCCAGTGTTGAGTGTAGGTCTGTGAGAGGTTGGAGAGCAGATCCGTTGCTCTCTCAGCTAGACGCCTGTATAGGTTTGGGCTTGCACTGCTGCATTCTGAGATGAGCTGTGAGGAGTACCTCTGCAGAAGTTGTATGTGTGGGCATGGGAGGAGAAGGAGATCTGGGTGAGTGATTGGGAGGCATCATTTGCTGTGCTGCTTGCAGCCCATGTACTATCTGGGATGGTGACACATGGGTTCAGTGGGATTTGTTTTAATTGCAGAGTGCGAGTCAGCCTCGTCTGTCCCATGCAGAGATGTCAGAGGATTACCCCCGCTATCCAGATATCCATGACCTGGACCTCACGTTGCTGAACCCTCGCATGATAGTGGTAAGAGATGTACTGCAGTGTGACAGTGTTTCCTGATATATGTTTAGAACTGTCCCAAGCCTTCAAAAAAGCTGAGAGCTGAGTTTAAGTCTGCCCTTCGGTGCAGTGACTAACATTCTGTACTTCTCATGCATTCAGTCAGCCTTGTCTGCATGTGGAAATCAATACTCATACCTGCTATGAGGCAACATCGCACACAGGTGCTTTACTTTCAGAATAAGATGTTGCCTGTCTAGTTTAACTTCCTTCTAGATTAGACTCCTGCCTGAGTGAGACTGGACAGGCAAACTGCTGATGTCTGTTTGGAACTCTGTGCTGGCAGCTCAGTCAGTGGCAGGCCTGTCATCGTCTTTGTGACAGGAAGTGTAGGCCAAAGTGCTTTTTTAATATACATTCTTATGTTCATGGACCTGCATTTATCCTGCTCAGAGGCAGGATAAAGAGGATAGAGGCATATCCTGCTATCCTGCTAAGAGCATTGGCTCTTAAGATCATGGGTTACAGTGTTCAAACAAACTGACAAATTCAAGTTCCTGAAATAATTTCATATTTGTGGAGAAGTAGAAGATGCCCACAGTCCAATATCCCGTCCAGAGATCAGTGTAGGAATTGTAGGAATTGCTTGTTAGTGATTGCCAGAGATAGTGAAAATGCCTCTTGTAAATAATATAATTGGTTTTCTTTCTTAGGATGTCACCCCATACATGAACCCATCACCTTTTGCTGTCTCTCCAAACACTCATGTGTCACAAGTCTTCAACCTGTTTAGGACAATGGGACTTAGACATTTACCAGTTGTGAACGCAGTTGGAGAGGTGAGTCCTTATCTCCATTTTGTCTTGGCCGAGCAAGGAAGTCACTGTGGTTTTTGCAATGCTTTCCACCTTTGGGAGAATTAAGATCTCTTAACATCAAACAGAAATGCTTTAAAGAGATCAGAATGTGTTGTAGTTTAACCTGGCAGGCAGCTAAATGCCACACAGCCATTCGCTCACTCCCCACCCTGCAGTGGGATGGGGGAGAGAATAGAGGAAAAAAGAGTAAAATTCATGGGTTGAGATAAAGACAGTTTAATAGGACAGAAAAGGAAGGGAAGATGATGATGATGATAAAAGAATATACAAAATAAGTGATGCACAATGCAATTGCTCACCACCCAATGACCGATTCCCAGCTAGTTCCCGAGCAGCGGTCACCGCCCCCTGGCTAATTCTCCCCAGTTTCTATACTGAGCATGACATCACATGGTATGGAATGTCCCTTTGGCCAGTTGGGGTCAGCTGTCCTGGCTGTGCCTCCTCCCAGCTTCTTGTGCACCTCCAGCCTGCTCAGTCGGTAGAGCATGGGAAGCTGAAAAGTCCTCGACTGGTGTAAGCACTGCTGAGCAACAGCTAAAACATCGGTGTGTTATCAACTTTATTGTCATCCTAAATCCAAAACACAGCACTGTACCAGCTGCTAGGAAGACAATTAACTCTATCCCACCCGAAACCGGGACAGAATGTGATCTTCTTAAGGCCCTGAAGCATTGTTGATTACTGTGACTTTGTTACCATCTTTTGTGTCCAAGCCTGCTTCCTGCTTTCCCTGCCAGGGGCAGGACATGCAGTCTCTCTCCTGTCTCAGGTTGGCAGCATGTGGAAGCTCTTACTGTTTTGTACCTGTTGAGAGGCCTTGAGCTCATCAGAGGCCACTAATTTGGCTTCCTCTTTGACAGCTTTATTCAAGGCCAAGAGCAGAATTTCCTGTGTGTTGGGGCAGGAGGTTTTTCTGCTGGAAGGGAACTTGTGTTCTGTTCCTACTCAAAGGAGCAGCAAAATAAAGGAGTCTTTGAATGTTTTGTGCTTGATTCACTGTACTTGTCTCTTTGCCATCTACAATGCTCAGGAATAGTCAGTAGGTGTCAGTAACTTCCTATAAACATAATGAGAAACTGTTTCCCTTGAGCTTGAACTGGTCTGTCCGAATGAGAGAGCAGTGCTTTTTCTGCCTCTTGGGGTTCCTAATAGCTACTCTGCAGAGCCTGTTGGTTGAAAAGAGATGTTGATTCGTTCCGTGTTTAGTACAAGATGCTCTTGCAGTACTAGAGAGCAGCCTAGTTCTAAACTCTTTCAATGTGTAAAATCACTGAGGTGTTTCATCAGCTGAAACGTGTGGTTCACCTGTTTCCCCAGCGGGCTGGGGGAGGGTCCCGTTTGTGACCTGCCAGCTAGTGATGGCCAGTGTGCGATCACCACTTAGCTAGTCTTCACCATTTCTCACTTTTGGTCTTTAGAGCTTCCTAGAATGTATCTAGGATACAACAAAGAGGCAGCTTTGTTATTTCCAATTACAGTTTTCACTTTCCAAAGGATTTAGTTACGTCCATGTGCTGTCTAACATGAACAGGATTTCCCTTCCTGGGCAGGGGTAACTACTGCTGTGTCCAGGCACCATAGCAGCAGTTAAGCTGTCTGTTTGGGTGTAGTTAAAGCAGTGTCTTGCCTGTAGATAAGTGCTGGGAGAGGGAGGGGCATTGTTTTGGTGAGATTTGAACTTGAACCCACTCTAATTCAGCATTGGTCAAGAACTGCTTGCAGGTTCCCTCTTTTTTGGGGGTTGGAAAGAACAGCTCTACCATGCACGTCTCTTAGTGGCACATCTGTGATACTGACTTGTATCTTTTTTCCTCTTTTCTTCCTCTTTAAGATTGTTGGGATAATCACTCGGCACAACCTGACCCACGAATTTCTGCAGGCAAGACTGAGACAACACTATCAGACCATTTGATGCCCCTGCCCACCCTGCCCCACTGTCGGTGTGGCTACCTCCCTCTTCCAAGCCTGCACACGCGCTCGCATTCTGCTTGGACCCCACAAGGCCCAAGACTTGCCGTTTGGCTTCTCACATGCATATCAAGCCTGGGGAGCTGGAAAACATCTTGCTAGCCAGAGAATTAGAGGAGCTGCCTGAGCCCAGAGCTGTTGATTGGTCTCAGGCACTTGGTTTGACCACTCTTGATCCAGGTTTTTTCTTTTCCTGTGCCCCAGTTATCTCCTTTCATCAGATGTTGTCCTGATGCTGTATGTTCTGCTATTTTGTTTTGGTTTGGTTTTTTTAAAGGGTTGGAAAAAAGAACCCTCTAGCTCCACTGTGTCCTGTGCAGAGAACTGCAGCATCTTTTCCTTGTCCTCCTGTATGTCTCCCTTTTCCTCTTCCTCCCTTGTTCCTGCAACTGTTGCCTTATTTGTGTGAGAAGGGGGTCACTGTCAAGGCTGAGAGGAGATACTGAAGCTTGCAGTTATCAAATAGCTGCTCTGGAAGATGGCTTTTCTCAAAAGCAGTATTTAAAAAAAAAAACCAGCTCTTTGCAAATACACCTCTCTTTGCAGGTGCTCCCAGTTGCCCATGTTTTTCCACTCTGGCTTCAATTGTTCCTAATTTCTCTCCTTCTTTCATGGGGAGGTATCCCTGCTGTGACGTTTTTGACAGCAGCTGACTTTTGAGAGCAACCCAGTAAATCAGGAGTTCAAAACAGTTCAATTCCACTTACTGTTTGGGATTATAAATATTTAATACATTTGCAGAGCATCTCAGAGAAGGGAGATCTCTTTTCCCTATTAGCTGTTGCTATTATCTTCCTGTAAGAGACTCTTCTAAGGCACTTCGTGGCACTCCACTTTGTCACTACCCTGACACTCCTGTGTTTCTTGGCATTTGTAGGCACTTTGTCCTTGTACTGATCCAACAGTGGGAGCCTGGGACACCTTTCCAGGTAGGGTTAGAGACCAGGAAACCCCTCGTCCTCAGAGCACGGTGAAGTGTTGCTTTCTGGAGGCAAATAGAACTGATGCCCTGTCTCTGGGCTTGGTTGAATTATCTCTGTGTCATGGGAGGAGCTGGTGTAACTCCAGGCTGCCATACAGGAGGGATACTTGGTGCTGGTGACTAACAGGCAGGATCTGCTGCAGGGTGATAAGTCGGGCTGTCTGTGCTCTAAAAATGCTTGGGATAATGTTTGCAACTGCAACAGCTGAATATCCATAAGGGTAAAATCAGTACTTACAAGCCAGTTGCAGCCAGTTCACTGCTTTAGCAGGTACCATCCTGGCCAGCACCTGTATTGTTCCAGCAGGCACCTGCCCTCCTGAGTTTTGCATACAGATGACCCTCAGTGGGAAGCCAGCATTGTGCCTCCCGGGGCTGCAGAGCTGATTGGCTTGATAAAGCACAGAGCATTCTCTCAGCCAAGAGACTCGCCAAGTAACATGGGGAATGTATCCCAGAAAAGGTTCTACACAGCCTCTGAGCACTCCAGTTAACCTGTTGTCTGCCATAAGGAGCTAGCTAGATGAGAGTTGTGGCAGAAGGAAATCGACATTATTGTATCTTCTGAATTCAGGAACTCATCTATGCTGAAGATTTTCCTGACTAAGCCTGAAGAAGTTGTGCCCTTTCCTTACATGTGTCAAAACACTAAATCTGTTAAAACAGCTTTTTTGACTGACTTCATGGAAGCTGATTGTTTCAGGGCACTGCTCTGCAAACTGCTGGCTGCTGAGCCCTGCTACAGTTAGGGGTAGGAGGAGGTTTTGTGCCCAGTTCACCAGCCATGGTCTTGATATAGGGCTCTTCAAGTCACTGGAACTCTTAGATGTTCATGGAGTCTTTGCAGTCCGGGTAGTTGGTAGACAGATGTATTCCCTGACTGTGCTTGCAATAAAGATGGCTGAGTCATGGGAGGCTTGAATTTTGTCCGGCAGATGAGAGAAAACTTGGTCTTACAAGTGGTTCCTGAGGCCAAGTTTTAGGGTAGAATTTGTCCTTGTCATACAGTGCATGGCATGGCTCAGCTGGAAAGTTTGGTTTTAGCAAAACTGTAAGCATTTAGATTTTAATTTTTATTCCTCTCCATTGACATCTGGAGGCCTTTTTTTCACTTAGTGTTCTTTCCCATCTGCTGCCTTACTAAGAGAGGAAGGGCAGATCTTTCTTTGTTTTCAAGAATGGATTTATTTCATTTACAC